CGAGACAGGAATTCTTTACTTGCAGAGTGGTGAAGGCGTGGAATGCGTTAGATGACGAAGTAGTGGCTGCCCAGCGCCAAGACTATCTTTAAGAAGAAATTGGATGCTTTCATGGACAGGTAAAAAGGTGGGGGGTGCAATGTTGATGTTGACCGAGGGTATTTTAAAAGAGGCTCCACCGTTTTCAACATCAATGAGTTCGGTCAAATACCAAAAGAGTTTGCCTATATTTGGTTCTTAAATTGAATTATCGGTACACATCCATGAAGCAATGGTGCAATTGATGAACCTAAAAAAAAGTATCTCTTATTTTCTCACCTGAACGATTCACAAATTTCTGTAAACTCAGGTCTGTTCAGTTTTCGACTGAAACCAATGCTAACAGATTTAAGATTTTTTCATTTGTTGAATTTTGAAACATGCAGTCGAGTTAACTCCTACGTCTGTTGGTTTTTTTTGTTTATTTTATTTATTTATTTATTTTTTTTTTTACAGAAACCCGTATTTATACTTCCCATCTTGCTTCTGCTTTTCTCTCATTCGACAGAACGCCTCATATGCCACAAATCCACCCCACAAAGACATGCAGCTCTTCCCTGAGTAGCATCTTCGAAAAAGTGTCAGAAACAGTGTATTCTGTGAAGAGTGGAGACATTGGCTGCCTGAAAATCAAAATGACAATGTTTCATTGCAGCCAAGATAATGAAATCACTCATGACCCTGAAATTTCACGACCCTTCGGATGGGAAAATCAGGTAAAAAGTAAAGTGTATCTAGAAAAGTGCTGTTCAAATGACAACAAAAAGCGCAGGCATCAACTTAACTAAAAACACGTGACTAAGAATTTGACACAGAAAATGTTTACTATTTTTAGTGGCATCACTCAAGACCGCGAAATTTCACGATGCCTCGGGTGCGAAATTTCGAGTAAAAAGAAAAAAGCAGCTGGAAAAGTGCTGTTCCAACATAATATGCATATATTTTTAAAACTTGAGAAAATGCGAAGTAACCGAAAGGAACAAAATGAAAGAAAGCGATGGCGTTTTCAAGGTACACTGCACCACTGAGCATCCAGGGTGTTGGGACCGATAAAGTTGTTCACGTAAGCTGGAATTTCGGAAGCAAACAACAAAGTAAGGACGACATGAATGCGCAGGAACCGTTTGGGGGAAGGGGGGTACTTACTTGATGTGCTCGTGAAGACACTGCCAACATCAGGGGAACAATTGTCCCGACCGAACGAAGTTATACCGACAGTCGCGTAAACTCCTCTTGAAGTTCTATACATGAGGGATCCCCCAGAATCACCCTAGAATGAGAATTTTCAGCCAATTCTCTATAAGTTCTGGATTATTCCATCACCAATAAGTGATTCATATTGACAGTTCTCACTTACTTGGCAGGTATTTCTCCCAGCTGTTTTCACGCACACGTAGTTGTTATTGATATAAGAACCCCAATCGCTCTGACAAGTCTGAAGACTCATTACGTACACCGCCGTTTCCATCAAAACGTACGAGATATCATTGCTATCTGAAAGAGTGCTCAAAGTCTGAAAATACAGTGATGAAACCGATTCGAATACCTCGTGATTGACTCACCTCTCGAAGGGCGGCCCCATCCTGCGATCGTTACAACCGAATAAGGACTGGGGTAGAAACCAGCGAGACAAATGGGACGGATGTTTGGGTAAGCTGCGAAGTTGACGGGAGTCTGAAGTTTCAGAAGCGCGATGTCGTTCTGAATAATCTGTGAGGTGTGCAAGTAATTGGGATGCATGATGGCCGTAGCTGGAATCTGGATAGATTGACCAGACGGCCATTTAAATAAGGTCGTAGATCCTAGGGTCACGTAATATGTCGCGTACGGGCTGCAAGAATCAGATGAAAGAAGCGATTGATAGTTTGTGGAGGATTCGAACGCAGCCATGTTATTAATAGGTTTGACAAAATATTCTTACTTTGACTCCACGCAATGAGCAGCAGTGAGTATGTAACGGTCGTTTATGAGTGCCGACGTGCATTGGAAACCATTCCTGCTCGTCCCCATCCATGCTATCCACGGGTACTTCCGTTGACTGGTGACGGGTATTCCTCCAATGATTCGATCGATGTCCGACTCAGTCGAGTTAGTCGTTTTCTCCGAAGACCGCTTTCCCGCTTGAGAAAGTCCGCAATCTGGTACATGACAGCGAATGCAACGCTGTACTCATATTGCTACTAGAGGTTTGAAAAAAAATATATATATATTTTTCTGAACTCACAGCAGGAAGCCGAGGCTCTAAGTCCTGAAAAGCGGAAAGGACACAAAATGAGAAAAGTGGCAGTTTTTCTTCTAACTGGAATGATTTTCTTAACTGTTTCCTCTTATTGCACCCCTCCTATTGAATTATTCACAGAGAACTTCATTAAATTCAGTTTCTCGATATTGCCTAACCTGGGACATCAAGCAATTCCAACAACGGTGGTGAATTCCCAGAAGCTCCATTCTCCTCGCCCTGTAGGAACAGAAAGTAATAATAACTTTGTTCAGCCTGCACTTAACAAGAACTCGATCATGTCCCGTTTAAACGAAGAATCTGACAGGACCTGAGTTGATGCGGAGAATATGAGGAAGAGGAAGAAGACAGAGAACGGTGATGCTTCCATACTGGCGGCGAACGATGTCGAATGCACTGTCGATTGAGGATTTCTGCTCGTAAACGTGACCAACGATGCCGAATTTATACTAAAACAGACCTCTCTGGAACGGCCTCCTATCCCAAGGTGACACGAATGCCATATGGACAGGTGTGTTTGCAGGAGAACTTTCGTGATCTAGATGATTACACCAATGGCGGCTCGTGGTTCGTGCAGTACGGAAGACCAGAGACCTATCAAGAAGGGGGGTCTGTCCTGGCTCTCATTTCTTTTTCCTCGAAGCTTTCATGGGGCTTTTTTGATTTCATTGGCGCATCCGAAAAATGAGACTCTCACTATAGTACTGGGTTAAGACTCCGATGCTAAGACAATGAGTCTGACGGAAACCTGAAAAATTATATATTTTTTAGATTACCTCTCGAACGATATGGATCTCTTTGTCTGGCAAGTGTATAAGCAGCCCTAAGAGTATCTAGTTTTCTTTGGACAAATCGAACCTGAGCTTTGAGAGTCTTTGGAGGTTTTTTTTTAAACATTTATTTCAACTTTATAAAAGGTGTCAGTGATGCTCTAATGCATTTCTTATATTGAGAGTGCAGAATTTCTACGAAGGACGCTATTCCCGTATGCTAAAAATGGACGTGCTCCTTTTTAATCCAGCTGTTTTTTTACGTCATACTCCATTTAGATCCAGGCTCCTGTTCTGGATCTGGGTGAGGACATGCGATCAAAAGTTCGTCGTCATTTTCTCACATGGCATTTGCCACGAGGGCGGAGAACATTTCGAAATTTTCCTCTCTTCGCTTCGCGTGGCATGAACTTCATCGGGAAGATAATGTATCTGATAAAGAAAGGCGTTCCATATATTTCCTTTCTTACCGTTACCTCTGAGGTAAAGGGTAATTGCTTCATTCCGTTCATTTCGTTGCGAGACTGCCCTTTCGCCTTGACTTCTCCATACCCCTCCCAATGAATCGGGGCAAGTAAGGCAAGGGATAGACCGGCCTAGGTAAGAAATGCGCATGCTCCGACCTGCGATAGGGAGGGGGAGAAGCCCGGGTCTAGTAGTTCTGTAGCGGATAGCATTCTTCCACCCTTTTCGTATGGCTTTGCTCATATCCAGCATGACCGCAATTTTTTTTACTCTCACGAGGAAGCCCAAATATTATTCTGACCGGAGGCGTTCCGGAGGACGCCATTCTCATGTAGGGT